CATGGTGTCCTCTGTCTGTGCCACCTTTGAGCGCAGATAATCCATGTCTGATAAGCCAGACTTCAGTGCTTCTTTAGTGGCACCTGAAAGCAACACAAAAATGGAGATCGGTGAATCGCACACACCTTTTCACTTTTTTTTCTATGCTTGTTATGTGTAGCATTTGTCATATAGGATCAACTGGATTGTCATTGGGAACACACTTACAGTATATAATAATCTGATGCAGCCTCTTTTACATTTTCTCTACTTTTATTTGCTGTTATTTTTGCATTTTCTATTGAATGCACAGTACAGTATTGTACTACTACTTTATCTGACAGATTGTGTACCTGGTATATCATAAAAGTATACATTAAAGGTGGGGTAGGTAAGTTTGAGAAACCGGCTCGAGATACACTTTTTGTTATATTCCATGGAATGCTCTTAACATCCCGATAGCAATGAATATCTTAAGTGCTTTGACAAAAAATCCATAAAAAAATGTCATCTGTGGAAGCCGTAGTAATGTAAAAAGCACGACCAATCATTTTAGCCGGCCCGGCTAAAATAACTGGATGGCCTACCTGCCTTTCAGCCTTCCATCTGTGCACAAACTTATCTCGAGCCCTCATTGGTCATGTGCGCGTTCGTGTGTGTTGGAGGAGGGGCTCTGTAAGGAAGTGGCAGATTTTCTCCGGCTGTGTATTTTCAAATTCTAGCGATCTCGAGCTGGTTTCTCCAAAATTACCTACCCCACCTTTAACTAATTTTTTATGGAACTACATGCAAATCCAGACTTCAGAGGATCCAGCCCCTAAATTAGAACACACCTTTTATTTGCCTAGACTAAGAAGAGAACATCATTACTAACCTTCAGCTTCATCCTCTTCTTCCTCCTCCTTCTCCACCTCATTCTCCTCCTCTGACTCGTCTGAATCAAAGTTAAGGTAATCATCAGAAGCAACCTTTTTCTTGCTCTGAGTCTTCACCACTGCAGCATCAGGATCAGTTTGCAGCTGCTGCATAGTGTCATTGGACCAGGTCGGTGCTTGGCTTCGGTTCTGATGTACTGACAGAAACTCCTTGAACCCCTGGTCCTCTTCCAGCTGAGACACACCACAAGTAGACATGCAATGATTACAACTTGCATAAACAAACAACAAAGAAAACTGTACACACTTAGGGCCGTTCTCATTTCATCAAATCCCCCTCCTCGACTCCTCGGTCCTCCGGTAGTGACCCGGAAATGAATTTTAGCGCGCCATGTTGATCTGTAGCCTGTTATTGTCTCATTATACCGCACTGTCAATGAATTAAAAGTAAATAAGTCGTCATGAACACATCTGTCCATCAGACAGAGGGCTGCTGTGCCTCCTGTCATCATTAATGGACGTCTCTTTAAAATGACCGCTCAGAGGAGAGGAGTTCTCATTTCTCTAACCGCCTGCTGCTTCCCCTCCTCTCTCCTCGGTTCCCCTCCTCGGCTCCTCCGCTCGCATCTCCTGTGGGCGGGACTAAGTCTCGAGGATAGGAGTCGAGGAGGGGAATTTGATGAAATGAGAACGGCCCTTAGTGTCTCTTTCCACTATAACTGAGATATTGGCATGGTCAAATGTCCAAAAAAGGATTCTCTTTTAAAAACAGAAAAACTGTCATTTATCACTTATTATAACAATTATTTATGTTACGTCAATAATTTAATTATGTCAATATTAAACAGGTTTTAGTGAGGCTGATTTAGACCTGGATGTAAATATAACAATTTCAAGGAGATTTCTGCACTTTGTGGTTGGTAACCAAAGAAGTATTGATGTTTATTATGTATGATTGACAAGGAGCCTGAGTTTGGTTTCATCATGTCCACAATCAGATGGTGTATAATGAACATTTAACAGAAGACAAACATAGAAGCTGATACTTTTACTCACAATGTCCAGGGTGCTGTTGGTTTCCTTTTTCTGTTTATTTTTCTAAAAGGCAGAAACAAAAATAATGTTTTACGGGATAGTGTTGCAGAACAGTTTAATATACATTATACTTTTTTTAAATCTTCATATGATTTGTATGTAAACATTGTACAAAGTATAAAGAATCCGGAAGAGATGTCAAATTGTTTTGTATGTGGTTATTGTTTTTTCCTTGTGATGATAATACTTTCTTCCAGGTCATTGTGTGTGTACCTTCTTGCTCTCTGAGTCAGCAGGGGTGGAGGGTTTTTCGGGGCCTGAGCTCTGGGTGTGTTTGCTCCAGGCTTTGGCTTTAGTGGGGTCTCCAAACGCCTTACACATCTCCACCTGGAAGACATGAAAACCACAGTGTTTACTGTTCACATGTGGAAAAAAACAGTCACAGTCATCAACACGCATGGTCAGCAGAGGTAACTAAGTACATTTACTCAAGTACTGTACCTAATTACAATTTTGAGGGTTGTTTCCATGATATGCTACTCTATACTTCTACTCCAGTAAAAAAAGGGAAATAATATAATTTGACTCCACTACATGAATTTAACAGCTTTAGCTACTTTTAAAAAGTAGCATCTCTAAAAATTAAACTAGTGGACTAACTCTTTAAGTCACAAAAGAGTCAAATAATTTTAAATATTTTACAAAAAGTCCATCAGAACTTTGTCTCTCTACAAAAGTAAAATGCTTGCATCTTGCTGATAATACTTCTGTACTTTGACTTAAGTAAGTTGAATGCAGGACCATTACTTGTAATGATGTACAGAGGTGGGAAGTACACTCTGGTACTTCTACTTAAGTACAAGATCTAGGTACTTCTCCCACCTCTGATGCAGTACTTTGACACAAACGTATTGGTTCTTTTACTAAAGTAAAGCATCTGAATACTGCACCACTGATGGTCATCTCCATACCGTCACTCTGGATGTGTCCACGAAGCTCTTGTTGAAGTGTTTCAGAGCGTTGTTCGCGTCTTCCTCGGCTTTAAACCCCACAAAGCCGAACTTACGGAACTTTCCATCCTTGGTGAACTTCAGAGAGCAGTCTGTCACTGTGCCAAAGGCAGCAAACATGGACCTGAACCTCTCCTCCTTCATCTGCACACAACACACAGCGAGGTTACATCTTCAGGAGAAACCAGACAAAATGGTGCTGACATACGGGAGTTTACTTACCCCATTAGGGAGGTTTTTAATGATGAGTCTCGACATGGTTTTAGTAGCTGTACTTCCACTAATGTAGCATGAGTTTAATGTTTAAATATATGTCAACAAACGAGCATGGACACTGCTCTAGGACGCCATGTTGAATGAGACGAGCTTCTCTTTCTTCTTCTCTGCTTTCCAACTATCGTAAATTAAGCCTTGCTGCCCCCTGCTGGAGAGTACACTGAGCGGCAGGAGAGGCATACTGTTTACAGAAGAGGATTAGGGCCACATGTGAAACACTTTTTGAGATCTGACCAAAAGTAGTTATTTTATTCTTATATATTATTTTTTGTACTTTGTTATAATTATTATCATGAGTAAAATATATATATATATATTATTATTATTGTTGTATGTTTTGTTTCTGACATGTTCAATAAATTGACCAAATAAAAAAATATTTTATTCTGAGATTAAAGTCAGAATTCCAAGAAAAAAGTCAGAATCCTCACTTTCAGTCAGATCTAAAAAAGTGTTTCACATGTGGCCCTAATCCTCTTCCGTACTGAAGTGTAAAAATACTCTGTTTCAAGTTAAAGTCCTGCATTAAAAGTATTCGTTGTGGACAACCAGTTGAGCCCCGAGCCTGTTTTTCAGGTCTCAGGCTCGAAAAGGACATTCCCAGAACAAATGACTATAACTTCACTTCTAAAAGGGGTAAATTAATAATCTTTTTTCTCAAAGCAATGATAAACCTGTGAGTTGGATGTAGAAAAGTCAGAATCAATATAGAATGTTTTTATTTTAAAGTAAATTCAGATTGAACATAGTAAAAAAAAAACATTACTTATAGTGAAAACCACCCTTGAATGATGGGATCGGAGACTAAAAGCTTCCCCTGCCTGAGTTTTGATCGCTCAGTGATCTACTACTAATATACTTATATTTCTAGAATCTGTGGAATCTGTGGAATCTCAGCTTGCTAACTGATATCTTGTTTGTGCAGATCCGATAAGTAATAAGGTATCTCTACCGTGAGTTCTGTGCTAAGTGCGTTAGCATTTTTTTTGCTCAGGGCTAATTCAGAGGCTTGGTATGACCCTTGTGTTTCGTTTTGCTAAAAATTGTTAATATTGTCTGATAGCTGAGTTTCTTCCCGTTAAGTGGGTATGACACATTTATAGTTTGTTAAATGTTAAGAAGCCCTCAGACGCTGTTTCTTGCAAGATGTTGCGTTTTGCCCCATTTCACTATACAGTACTTGAGTAAATGCAATTTGTTACAGTCTGTTTTACCAAACTTAATGCAGACTGCCATCTACTGTAGATAACACTGTGACTAAGTACGCAACTTTCAACAACATAAATTCAAAAAATATGAATGATCACTTTAAGTTATTTGACTTTAACATTTATCATAGTACTGTATATGCTGTTAAAGTAATATAAAGCACTCCTGTGACCCCAGTAGAATGAAAACAGACTACTTGACTCACACGTCAATGAACCTTTTGTTCTCCAGGCCACATACCACACTGAAAGGTCAGGAAACTTAACAGGCATCCAAAAGTGCATAACAGTTCACTTTGAAAATACTCTCACTCTGTCATGAGTTCATCTTTATTTAAAAAAATCAATGGAATGCTCTTTTTGAATGGTTTTACACACCAATTGATCATTTATCATACCAAAATATGACATATTGTTACAAAAACCATTTGAACCAAAGTGATGTTATTATGACTTCCAGGCACATCTCTTTATAGTTCAAGAAAAGCACGATGATTTATGTATGCTATAAGTTTATAATTTATATTAAGTTACATTTTCTGATTGAATATGTTGTGAGTGTGGACTATAAAGCCTTATGGAAGGTACTCATGTTTTTGAAAACAAATAGTGGAAGACAAAAATGCTTTAATTGCTGTATTCATGGGTAATATGTTATATAGATAATAACTGCGTCATCCCTGTTGCATCGACAGTGCGGGCCTTTTTGGAGGACTTGAACTCATTCTGGATTTCAACAAAGGTTTTGTTCTTGGTTTCAGGAAGGACAAAGAAAATGTATATGGCCATACAGGTGCAGACGGCCATGAAGACGAGGAAACAATACTGCTCCAGCCAAACCTGTACAAATAAAACAGGATATAACACAATGAGTCCAAATCTCTCAAAGAACCAAGTTTATTACTTTCATTTCGTCCTTTGAAATGTACCAGATAATGATATAGCATTTGAAAAAGAAGATACCATTATATGAACATACTTGTGTTGTGATATACCTGTATGGCCAAGCGTGATATTTGAAAAGTGAAATATTGATATTATATTCATTTAACACATATTATATTATGGTGTAAATAATTCAGCGCCTTTTAAGTAATTGGTTACAGATATTATCTTGGTTAAAGAATAACTCTCTCTGCCCTAAACCCGTCTTTTGAGTGTATTTTATTGGACAAAAAAGGTAAAACATACAAGTTAAAGATGATTTTGAGTGACAGCATTGTCATCATCTGTCTCAAGATGGCTTTAAATATCTCTATAATGTCATAACTGTGAATCATTTTGAGCATAATAATCATGCAGAGAAAATATCGATCTGAAAAACATTAAATTGGACAACCTTTATTGAATGCTTACCACAAGAAAAGGGAAGATCATGCTGATGAAGAAGAAGCTCAACCAGTTCAAGGATCCTGCGATAATGTAGGCTGCAGGGCGTGTTGTTTGAGTGAAGAGTTCAGTGGTCAAGATGTTAGTCACACCACCTTCAAGGAAGAAGAAACACCAAAATAAATCACTGTTAGTTATAACCATTGTGCAACAGCAGCTGCTAAGAAACTACTTTAATGAAGGAAAAACGTATTACCTGGTCCTAAGCCAAAACTGAGGATAAAAGCAAACACACTAGCTATGCTCAAGTAAGGAACTATGGGGCTGGCACTCTGTGAGAAATAAAGCCAAACAGAAGAAAATAGTTTAGTGAGTACATGTCTTATTTATGGTCAAAAACAATGGTTTATATATATGTTTTATAATGAGGTACCTGATAAGAGAGCGACAGCGTGAATAATATGCAGCAGATGCTCATCAGTATGTATCCTCCCATGATGAGCACTTTCCTTCCCAGGCGATCAATGACCATACCCTGTGAGACACACAGCATGTCACATGACCAAAGACACTCTCGAGGCAAACACTTTCCTTGAATTTAACTTCGACCTTTTATGCGTCAGTTTTGTTCCGCTAAATCCTGCTCAACAATATTTTTTAATCTCACCATTGAATGTTTTATTACAATTTTTCCTCTGTAGTGTTATGTTTTGATCTATTTCAGTTGCACTCTGACTCTTATCTTTTGCATGACGCTTTTATTATAAATGTCTTGACTGTTTTACCCTTGTGGCTGCACACCTATACCTATTACCCTGTTGTGTTGCTATAGCAAGAAGGAACACCATAATAAAAATACAGTGTAAAACTCATACTTACACATGTTAAAGCTGTGACGAGTTCACAGGCACCAGTGCCAAGGGTCACATATGGAATTCTTTCAGCAGAGATACCAGATTGTGTGAACAAGTAATTTGCATAGAAGTAAATCTACAGGAAACAAATTAAAAAACAAAGTGAATCATCTTTTAGGAACCTTGTTAGAGGTAGCAGGACAAATCAATTAAAGGAACAACAGGTGTAATATAGACGTACAGCATTGATGCCGTTCAGCTGCTGTGCCACGTTGAGCAGCACCACGGTGAGAAGCTGCAAGCGGACGCTACGATCACATAACAGCTCCCAGAGTGTCTTGGCCTTGAAATCTGACAAACTTCTCTTCTCCTTCTCGATATCATCAAGTTCGCCATCACAGCGAGATACACCGTGCAGTTGCTTCAGGGCTGCAGATGGGGAAACACATGACAAGCATGGTGATTGAAGTTTTCCCCATATTTACCATTCTTCTCATCTGACAAGGCTAGAGGGGATCTTTTTTGAGAATCTGATTAAAAAAAGTGTTCCTGTGTTAATGTGGCATTAACACAATGTTATCACATGCTGTAGTCACTGGCATGAGGACAAAATCTGCCTCCGGTGATTCCAGATAAAGGGTGCCCTCAACCATTTCAACCATGCTATCATGTGCGCTATGATCTTCTTGGTCAAGAGAAACAAACACACAGATTTGGAAATGAAAGCATCTGTACAGTAGTTTCAGTGCAAGTTTACCTTTCTTGCATCCTTCACTATCTCCTCTGTCGATGAGCAGGTAGCGCGGGCTCTCGGGGAACCAGGGCAGGATCAGGAGCTGCAGGAAGGCTGGGACACATGTGGTGGCGAGCAGGATGGGCCAGCTGTCTTCTTTACCCAGGAGCTCTCTGGGAAATCACACAGACATGTCTAAACAAAAACACAGTATAGCATTTATCTCTTTTTCTTTTAAAGTGCTGTCTTTTTCCATTAAGCCTGGTATACAGAACAAAGATGGCAAAGGGGAACAAAGATGTGAGAGCCGCTGTGATAAGGACTGAGCCTCAGTGCATGTGGCATGTGCACAGACACAATGTTTATGGGGAAATATTATGATTTAATGTAAAAATAAAATATATCCATTAGCGCTTCAATGATTAGTTAACAAAAAGTGAATCAACAAAGATCTACTCTTTTGATAATTAATACATGTTTGTTCATGCAAAACGGCACACAATGCCTGTTTTAAGCTTCTCAGAAATGGAGATTTCTTTTTTTCCCTCTGTTTTATCTTATAGTTACCAGAATATTGTTGAGCCTTGGACTGTAAAACAGTTAAAGACATCATTCTGAATTTTGAGAAACTAGGATGGATATTTTTTCACTAGTTTCAGATTATTCTAAAAATCAAATTAGTTGTTTGTAGCCTTAATATAGCATTGACTTACTTGAGACCAACCACTTGTCCAGCTAAGAGCCCTAAAGTGATGGAAATAGAGGTTCCCATTCCCATGGCCCCACGAAATGCAGTCGGAGCTATTTCCCCCAGGTACAGAGCTTGAACACAAAGACCAATGCCTGTGAAAATAAAATATGTGATTAAAGCTATATTTATGAGGTTTGAAATGCAAAATTAAAACCAAACATTGAATACACTGGTGAACACACTCTCTAGATGTATTTCTGAATGATTTACCTGCATTTAATCCAGTGACAAAACGTCCGATGATGAGTAATTCATAATATCCTGTGGGGTAACTCAGACCCATCAGCAGAGCAGCGATTATTGCAAATGCATTATTTGCTAACAGTGTCCCTTTCCTGGAAAAGCAATATTACATTATGGCATTAATGTTAAAAACAATATGGACAAAATCAAAATATTGCAAAAAATATGCCATACCTTCCAAGCTTCACAGACAGTGTCCCACCGACTGTCACTCCTAACAGCCCCCCTATGGTGAATATAGACACAATAGTGGACCAAAGCAGGGTGAGAACATTTTCTGGTATGCCAGTCTGGTAACGCTCAATCCAGGTTTGGTTGATGAAATTATGCACATCCTGAAGATAAAAAGAGAAACATGGATGTTCAGAATGAATTAAAATGACAAAGTAGCCCATTTAGCATGAGTACAGACAAATGTGCATAAATACTGCAGTAAATGGTGACACAGTGGGGTTATTACCGTTGTGGGTGCATTGATGACAGAGATATTATATCCAAACTGAAAGGTTCCCCCTATACAGGCAGCACAGGCAGCCAACACAAGTGATCTGTTTGGGAGCTGCAATACAAACATACAAAACATATATTTACATCATTAACAACTTTAATTTGACGTCTCTGAAGAGACTGTTTTTGATTTTTTTCTCATATTCCACATACCTTTGGTTGTTTTTGTCCATTTAAATCTTTAATAAGCAGAGGCTCAAATTCATCCGTAAATTCCTTTGGCATTTTGTCGCCGATTTTTTGCTCAAAGTCCAATGTGGTTTCTCGTTTGAGTATCCTTCATGAGAGGAGTTTGCTCTCAAAAGGAAACTTAAATGACGGGAGGATGGATTTATCATTAGGAAGATACAATTGATCTGTTGTCATGAAGTCACAGCGAGGTGAGGAGAATCGGCTCTATTAATCCGTGTCTATCAGGATTTCACAGCAGTGTATAGTAGAACCAGCTGCATCACAAATGTGAGCTTCAAATGCTTTTTTCCCCTCAGTAGACTACATCTCTATCCAACTGTTGACGAGCTGTCTCACAAAAGAATGTTTCCCAAAAAATAATACAATGAAAAGTAAAAAAAGTTATTATAGATAACAGCATCCGTGCTGCTTCAGCCTACAAACAGCCGTGGAGGAGGCGGAGAGTCGGGCTGCCTCATGACAGCCACACTGATAAATCATTATCCAACTCATTTGAACTACAGTTATGTTTAAAAACAGCATTATGTTCAAAATCAGCAGTAGTTAAGTGTTGACTCACCCTGCTGTATGTCTCAGACATCAGAAGAGCAGGGATGTGAACATCTGCAGCATCTGAAAGCTAAAAAGTTAAAACTTTAAAAGGGTCAAGAGGTTGAGAAGACAGTCAACCGTATTGTTTTATATTTATGTGGTCAGTATGATACTCTTTTATCCTTTAATTCTGCAAGATGGATACAAATACGCCCATTACAGGCTTCATTATGCAGTGTTTAAAGTTGATTAAAATTAACATGTTTTGGGTTGCAATTTTGTGTAAACATTACTGGGGCTGGTGTTCATCCTCCTCCAACAGGACACTTGAAGCATCATGAAGCATTTATTACATTACATTACTGCCAAATACAAAAGGACCCTCTCTGCGTACATGTAGATTAATAGATCAACAGATCACTAATGCATTTAAATTGTATATGATTTATTACCCTTCATGAATAATTAGATATACAACTTATAAACCCTTAAAGGTGGGGTAGGTAATTTTGGAGAAACCAGCTCGAGTGCGCTAGAATTTGAAAATACACAACCGGAAAAGATCTGCCACTTCCTTACAGAGCCCCTCCTCCAACACACACGAACGCGCACATGACCAATGAGGGCACGAGATAAGTTTGTGCACAGATGGAAGGCTGACAGGCAGGTAGGCCATCCAGTTATTTTAGCCGGGCCGGCTAAAATGATTGGTCGTGCTTTTTACAGTACTACGGCTTCCACAGATGACATTTTTGTATGGATTTTTTGTCAAAGCACTTAAGATATTCATTGCTATCGGGATGTTAAAACCTGTTAAGCCCCAAAGACCCCGTCGGCGGGTCCTTTTTTTTCACAAATTAAAAAAATATATATATATTTTTTTTCTTTGGATGGAATGAATACCTATGGTGATAATTCAATGTAATACACCATTTTTAGTGTATGGTGTATTGTACCTGAAAAAGGTCAAATGGCACTGATGGAACCAGATGTCGGCGGGTCCTTTTTTTTCACAAATTAAAAACAAATATATATATTCTTTGGATGGAATGAATACCTATGGTGATAATTCAATGTAATACACAATTTTTATAGTCTGGTACCTGAAAAAGGTCAAATGGCACTGATGGAACCAGATGTACCCAAATGTGCCGAAAGCTTATTCCGCCTGGAACCTTTTTTTGCTAAACCTCTCTAAAAAGGTCAAACTTCACTTGTTTTGCCTCAATCTTGATACAGGGTACTTATTATATGTTATAGTTTGGATTCCTGAAGCTTTTAGTCTACCATCCCATCATTCAAGGGTGGTTTTCACTATAAGTAATGTTTTTTTCTTTAGGCGGAGGTAAGAATTTACCTTTTTTTGCTATGTTCCATCTGAATTTACTCTGACTGAGAAAAATCTATATTGATTCTGACACTTCTCCATCCAACTCACATATGTAACCTGGCTTAACAGGTTTGAGAGCAAACAAAAAGTGTATCTCGAGCCGGTTTCTCAAACTTACCCACCTTTAATAGAGAGTCATTAGAAAATGGCAACACATACATTTTAGCCTACATTTATTTACAGGTGTATTTTACATTCCTCACTTTGATTTGTGCACTGATTATTCATTTGACTATCATCCAATAAGTCTAACAATAAATGTAATGTGTCTTCACTTTACACTTGACATTTAAAGCAAACCACGAGATACATTACAAGTGTCGTTGATTAGATCACACAGGTATTAGTTGCTGACATACCTTACCAACTGGTTGGAAAAGTATACTGACAATTGTATCAGTCGAAAAATTAGAGCCAATTTTATTTTCTGAATATAGTTTTTTATTTTATTTTACAAAATACAAAACAATAAATGACATAAATGCCAATACTCTTACAAACCTTCCCACATGCTCCCCACACATTCGATAACATAAGGACTTAGGATGTCTCGAAGGTAAACCCTACAGCTCAAAACAAAGCACACATTTCCATTGCAGCCTTCTGAGGCATTAAAAGGTTGCCGAGTTTGGGTTTCTACTCACCTCTTTCTTTGATTCTTCAGATTTCTCATCGAAGTTCATTTTGGAAGTTGCTATATAGTGTTTCAATGGACCATTTATAATGTTTCCAGTTCAGTCGAAACAGTAAGATAATGGCTGCCTATTATTAGGGCAGCAAATATATGAAGCTCAGCGCAAGTTCAATCAGGAAGACCAAACTCTTCATTCAGATTACACGTCACTTCATTACACTGCCTCCCTTGTTAAGTGAACGGCGCCTGAGCGCTCGTGGCTTCCCGCAGAGGCTCATGTACAGCAGTATGAGGTGTGATTTGTGCCAAAGAACAGATAACTAAGCTAACTGAGTGGAGAACTGACGTGTCAACGTGCGCCAACGCCTCCATCAATTTTGAGTGGGTTGACGTAGAATACAGGCGACGTCACGACGATGTCAGACGTCACGACGATGTCAGACGTCAGACGTCACGGCGACGTACCATAGATGCGCTCAAAGTACGCGCTCAAAGTACGCGCTCAAAGTACGCGCTCAAAGTACGCGCTCAAAGTACGCGCTCACGTAGCGGCGGCGTAGCTTAGAAAGCACTATCTTAGATATGCGTGTTGATAACGTACGTGTGGATAAGCGCGTGAATAACGTAGGGGAGAGTGGGGTAAGTTGAGCCATTTTTTAGTTATGCTGTCCTCTAAGCAAGGAGAAATGACACATAGTAAAAATGAAAGCACACACCTATAATGCAGGATGTCTCCTATCAATGGCAATGATAAGAATTAATATTTGATCAAGGGCAGTGAAAATATTACTTCTAAAAAAAAAAAGGTTTTGTGGCTCAACTTGCCCCGGGTTAGGGGTAAGTTGATCCAGGTCAGGGGGTAACTCTGGGCCCAGCAGGTACAAAACTAAAGAGGGGCTTCCATATCTGGCAGAGAAGGTGTTGTGGCTGGCTGCCGGATATGGAAGCCCCCCTATAATTTTTCACCTGCTGGGCCCAGAGTAACATGCTTTTGTGAGCACAAAGTAGAGGGGAACAGCAAACACCAGTGTGATTTTGGTGAGACTATCCTGGACAAAGGTATAGGGGGGCTTCCAAATCGTCTCGCCTCCGTTAGCATTGTGTATAGCATTATCCTATATTATATTTTTCGAATGATTCCGCTCCTACAGTAGTTTGGAGAGTGTTACAGGTAGCCTACACTTTCTCATCGGCACAGTATTGGTATCAGAAGAGAGGGGAATAATAATTAATAATCATTAGTATGAGAATATTTGCTGGTGTTGTACTCGAGACCGGTCTCCACTTTTTAACGTCTTGTCTCGGAATCGACTGCATTTGGTTTCGTATTGTCTCTGTATCAGACCTATAGGACTCGAGATTTTATGTCAAGACCGGTTAAGACCACGCAGTGGCGGCGCCAGGGTATGGCTGGGGTAGGCTACAGCCATACCAAGAAATGGCTTAGCCCCACCTTAGCCCCACCATGAAAAATGATGTTAAAGTAAGCAAAATAAAGTCCGTCAACTCGCGCGGAGTAAATTGCACAGACAGCAGTTAGTAAGATTGATTTCAGTAGCCACTTGTCTGGAAATACCGAAGACTAGAAACGGTTTTGAAAACTTTTGTCACGTAGTGTTCTTCTTCTCAATAAAACATCTTTGATAATGTCTTCTGGCCAATCAGAATCACGATAACGGCGTGGTGTTGTTGCAGGAAGTCCCGACGGAGAATACTTTAGCGGTAGTACATCTCTATATACATCGATACAACATTACGTGAAATAAGACCCACGGTTTGATGATTGATAGGTGTGTGGGCTGTCTTTCATTTTGACACACAGAACAATGGGGGCTATCCACCCTTATCCACAATGTAATTCACACAGCCTCTTCCCCTTTCTCTCTGAGGAGCAGCAGGTTCAGCTTTCAGAACACAGTAACAAAAAACTAAAATGGCATTCATTTTTTTAAATATGTAGTAATAGATTTATTTATTTTTCTTCTCAAGAGAGTACCAGAATGTGTATTTTATGTTAGTATTTCAAAAAATCTCCTGGGGGAGAATCCCCCCAGACCCCCCTGCAGGGCCTCTCATATGACGCACACCTGCACACTTGCTAGCGTGTTCCACACTTCGTTTTCCGAATGCCAGGAAGTATTCTTGACTCGCTTCTGAAGCAAGATGCTCGGCAGACATGTGCTACCAAGCAAGCGTACTCGCGATTGAGAAACACCCTCTGTGTCTGTGGCCATTTCTCAATCGCAAGGATATTGGCTTCCAAGCCAATATTTCAAGGATGCTACGTCATCGAGTGCCGCCGAAGGACTGTTCCAATCTCCAGCATACTTGGAATTCCACCGAGGCCGTGTCCTTGGTTTGGGGGAAATTTCGAGGCTGCACATGGGTAGACTTTGCATCCTTAAAATCCCCACAATGCTTTGCGCATGGACCAATTTCCCCAAATCTGTGGCGGAAGATGTAAGGCGGGGCCTCTCATATGACGCACACCTGCACACTTGCTAGCCTGTTCCACTCTTCGTTTTCCGAATGGCAGGAAGTATTCTTGCCTTGCTTCTGAAGCAAGATGCTCGGCTCGGCTGTGCTACCAAGCCAGCATCCTCGCGATTGAGAAACGGCCTGTGTGGCTTGTATGTCTTGTGAACGCAACGCTGGCATGATGTGGCCTGCTGACATGGCCTCTAATAAACACACAGGACTAAAATAATTTGTGTTTAATTCAGCCCAGCTGCGGTGACTGCAGGCCAAATCAATTAATGCGGCATATATTGAAGGTGTTCAAAGTTGCACCGGTATGAAGCGCACCTGTCAGACCAGACCTTTATATATACAGTCTATGTGTCAGACTAGCGAATGGGCACATTTACATTTCGGGAGAATAATGAAGATGTGATTGGTTGTTCCACTCTCCGTTTCACACGAGACCAGCGCGCTGCTGTTTACATTAGTGTGGACTGGACCGACTGAAACTGACGGCAAGGTTAATTATTGTGGAAGGATGGATCCCCATCCTGCAAAAAAAGGCAATGAAATGTGCTAAAATCACTGATTTATTCAG